GGGGGGTCGCCCCCCCCCCCCCCGCCTATACGCCACTGTCTGTTTGCCACCACCATATTACTTTGATTACATCGTGACTTTTGCAAAAATGTGCCTGTGGATTGTGGAAATATGATTATACATATACTTCATCATTTCGGACTTGGGCTCTGACTTGGACTCGAAATATTTAGGACTCGGACTCGAAATACTTAGGACTCGGACGGAAAAGTTTGGACTTGAAATTTTGCTAGGGACTTGGACTCGTACTCGGACTTGAATGCATAGACCCATTGCACTGACGTCACAAATCCTTAGAGTGTCCTCCAGATGCTCCCTAATAATATCTGTTCTGGTACAACAACCACATACAGCGCAAAAATGAACCATTTTAATACAAAATTATTATAAGCTTTAACAAAATTTGCTTTGTTTATAAAAGTTATATTATGCGTTGATTGTTAATTTGTCCTCCAGATGCATCGTCACCGCGGCGCTGTGACGTGATGTGCAATGGGTCTATAGGCCTTGGACTCGTAAGTTGTGGACTCAACTACAACACTGCTACCCCCAGGGGAAAAAAGCAAACATAACGTCCCTAACAAAAACAAAATATTATATAACTGGTGAACTGGATACGAAATACAGCAAAAAGTAAACAATTTTTGAATATATATATAACTGTCCAAAAATGTCAGGTTCAAGCAGGGCGCTTATATAATTATAAGCGCCCTGGGTTCAAGTATGTAAAGCACGCGCTCTTGAAAGAACTTTATTTGCGCATGCGCTGAATTATAAATAATGATGAAGTCTATACTATTCAAACTCAACGATTCTTAGATACCGCTGACCATATGTGAAACAAAATCCTGTGGGTTTATCCAGGGGGTTAACTGTGCCTGTTACCAAACCCAAACCATTCCCCTTTCACGAGGGACACTATTTTTTACAAAAGACAACAAATCCTCTCCTGTTCCTGGGGATTCTCCCTGGGGTGCCCAGACTGTTTGATCTTGAGTTTATCAGGCTGTTTGACTGTTTGTATTATCAGACTGTTTGATCTTGAGTTTGATGCCACATCCATGACAAACAGATAACTTTTCCCATTTCTTAATTTCATCAAGGACATCAGTTCTTTTCATTTTATTTTCGACAATCTTCTTAAGGGCCCCCACATTATTTTCGCCATCAGCAACACCCCATTTCAGGAGTGCATCTTTGGCAAGCCCTATTCCTCCTTTTGCCTCAAATGTGTTTTTCATAATGGTAGCTTCGAGTACGTCGAAGCATTCTAGAGCGCTCAGAATTGGCTCTTTACTGACATTGTCAAGGTCAAGTAGCTTGCAAATCTTTTGGAAATAACTGATTTCGACTTTATGATTGGCCACTCGTTGCGGTCATCTGGAAGCTGATTTTCGTTTCTAGCACGACAACTAACACACATTCTTGAAGCTGGCTGTGATTCTTTTTGGCCTTCATATTCATCTTCATTTGAGCTCTCTTCCAGTTTTGGTTTCTTTGCAACAATTTTATCTTTATAAATGAGAATAAATAAATATTCTTTATAATTAATGCTCGTTTCAAAAAGCAACTGAAGAAATATTCTCATGAAGTAAGCAACCTAATTCTATTTACTTGACAATGTTTGAACCTGAAAATTCACCTGTGAAGATTGTGGCTAAGTTAACGTTAACACCATATGTCTACTCCTATACTTGACTCTATACCATTTACCTCTGTATGCATGTGTGTGTTTAATAGGATTTTTAAAATGGACAGCTCAGTCGCTGCTAAACTGTTCTACTAACTGTTCTAAGACAGTTCAATACTGTCCCTTCTTTTTAATAAGGGACATCCCTCACGTACTCCAATGTTACTACACAAGGGGGAAAAATTATGTTGAAAAATTGGAGCATGTATGCTTCTCACTCTCCCCCACTTTCACATACTGTACCTCTTGCCATTCCTGGATCGATGTTTTTGTAGTGAGGCCATTCTTCTATTATATGATCTTTTATAAACAGGTTGTGGACAACAGATGCTGCCATTACACTGGCAAATTGCTTCCATTCTTGTGTCACTACTGATTTACTTCCATCAGCAAAATCTGCCACTCCTTTGATAACAGCCCATTCTATGCCAAGATCATATGCTGCTGCATGTAGACCTAGAAATTGAAAAAAAATGTCAATATGCAGAATGTTATAGGCATCATGCTAACCCATTTAGCAGTAATGATGCATCATGGCCTATCATGTTGTGGGTTAAAAATATCTGCTAAATTCTGTGCAGTAGAATTTATCCAACCCTCAACGGATCCCATTTCATAATGATATTCGTTCCCTAGCTTGTAACAGGTTAGCCTCCTTTGCTGACGTCAGTTGGCTGTAGCTAGTCACAGTCCAATTATTTATTTTCTCGCCCAAATATTCTCTAGCCCAAATATTTATTCTCTAGCCCAAATATTTATTTTGTAATAATGTATTAATAATTGTAATGTACATGGGAAATAAATTAAGAAAGAATTAATTAAAGAAAGGTCTGAGTCATGGGCGTACCGGAAGGAAAAAATTAGGGGGGCGGAAAGAAAATTGCCCGACTTTTCGTAAAATTGCCCGACTTTTCGTGATTTTGCCCGACTAGTACCAAAAAATTTTTCCCGGAAAATTTTTTTTGGCGACCTCCTCCCCCCCCCCCCCCCCCCCCCCC